ACCCCCCTCCCCTGTGGTTGTAAGCCGCCCTGAGTCCCCTCAGGGAAAAGGGCGGCATATAAATCCCAATAAACCTAAACCTAAACCTAAACCTAGCTGAAGAATTCTGGGAGTTGAAATCCATCTGTCTAAAAGTTGCCAAGGTTAGGAAACCCTTTTCTAAGATCTGCAAGAGAATGTTCCCTTCATGTCCTTATTTTAGGAAATATCCTTTAGGGAGTTCTGAAGGTCCAGCCTTCCTAACCTTGGGACAATTTAAAGAAGGCTATTTTAAAACCAGGTTGAAATACAAATATACTTTTGTGCATAATGATAGTTGTACCCACATTTTTTCCTTGCGATATATATTTTCATTTATAATTTTTTTTAAACAAAAGAAGAAAAACAATATTGTCTCCATGGTCTAAAATAAGAGGAAATAGGCTCAAATCCTAAGGAAAATTATTCAAATTGATTAGCAGTAGAACTTAGACTTATATACTGCTTCACAGTGCTTTAAAGCTCTCCCTAAGTGGCTTCAAAGACAGAATATTGCCTCCAACAATCTGGATCCTCATTTTACCCACATCGGAAAGATGGAAGGCTTAATTAACTTTGGTCTGATGGGAGATGAACGGGTGGCAGTTGGCAGAATTAGCCTATAACCCCCCATCCCAAGTTAATTGAATGTTGGATGGAGGAGGAATTGTGTTGGCAGAACCTAACTGACAGTAAAATAAATTGTTTTAAAGGATTGTAGTTTTTGCTTCACTAGAAATGTTTCAGCGTAGGATGGTATTGTTCATTTGAAAATTTGCAGTAGTGAATTTCCTACATTAGGAAAGAATTGTGCAGCTCTGTTATGGTAATATGTGTATTCCCAGAAACTTACATATGACCATATGCCCCCGGAAACAGCAATAAGAGGAGTAACAGACAATATCACCAGGGTCAGTTTCCATCCATATACAAATCCTATTATAACTCCCATCAGAAATGTTGAAAATTCTTGGATTATTAAACCAATCTTGTCTCCAATACCTTTGTGAACGGTGTTAATATCCCTGCAATGTAAACAGAAGATGAAAAGTTACTGTCAATTACCTTTATTCACATATTTTTAAAAATCAGCATACATAAATGTCAAATGTAGCTGTTTACATTTTTATGAGTTATTTCAGATGATAGTTGAATTTCCATTGTATATAATTGGCAGTTCCAGAAACCTAGTTTGAAAAATTTGTTTTTTGCACTGCAAGTCAAACAAAATGTGCCTTGGTAAATATACTCAGGGAATAATTGCGGCAGATTCCAAGGTTGAAAAATTGTCCAGAATTAAATTTTCACACATGCATGGGGAGATGGAGGGGGGATAACAGGAGGCTGTACCCCCCATGCCCCGTTTTTTCTCCCAGGAGGCTGCAGGGAGGTCTATTAGGTCCAAAATGGGGAACAGCGAGTGCAGCGAGCTCATGTGGGGGGAAGCATGGGCACTGTTCCCTCTAAGGTGCGTGGCTGCGCGGCCGCGCACATGGCAAGAAACCCCCGCGCAGCAGTTTCTAACTGCCGCGCAGAGATTTCTACCAAAGCAAACGTGAGGAAGTCCTTTGCAGGCAGCTAGAACTGGCCGCCCACAAAGGACCTCCCCAGACTTGTTTTGATGAGCCGTCCATGGCAGTGGTGCCTCTCCCTCCACACGGAGCACCTGAGCTGGCCCCCGCGTTATCCCTCCCCCTTCCTCCTCTGCCGTGCTTTTGAGGCCGTGGGAGCTAGTAGGAAAGCTGCGGAGGTGGAGGTGGTGGCAGGGGTAACCCAGAGCCCAGCTAAGGTGCTCCGAGCGGAGGGGGAGGCACCACAGCCGCTGCCATGGACGGGTGCACCAGCGGGAGCTTTGCCGGCTTCACCGGCAAAGAAGGAGAAGAAACAAGAGGACTGGCGGCTTTGCAATGCAACCCCCTGGTTCCGCCAGCCACGGATTGATTCGGCGTAAGCGAGGGCCAAACACATGCTGCGCCGACTTTGCGCCGTGTCTTTGCTGTGAGGCGGAGTAATTCAACCCCCCCCCAAAGAACATGTGTTTGTGTGTGTGTGTGTGTGTGTGTGTGTGTGATTCCGCTTGATGAGATGGTGGTAGAAAAAGTATACGAATTGCGAATTGGATCAAAATTGGTGGCCAAAGGAGTGGAGGGAAGGAAGGAAGGAAGGAAAGAAGCTCTGCCCCCTGTGAAAAAAACTGAAGATGGAGCAGTGAATGAATAAACCATAAAAGCAACAAACAGTTAATGCGTAAGTAAGCTGAGGAGCAAGTTCTCAACTAAGGAAGCAATATAAGAAAGAAATATAAAAAGCTCAATATGCCAAAACACATATTTTAGTCTTCATTTAATTACTTGTATTGTAGTCTGATGTAACATCTTTTTAAAGTTAACGTTAGTTAGAAAAGATAGGGTACAAAACTTAAATAATAAAAAAATTGTACATTCATTTTGAAAAATAAATGCAATACTTGATTAATTTCATATCTTTATTTAAAATAGTTTTGGCATGGCATATGATTTTATTGACTCAGTTGGGAATGATGTGGATGTTTATCTGATTCTGAGGTATATATATTCTTAAGTAACATAACATATAGCATATTGTCCAAACTTGCTAGACTATTTAATTGATCTTACTACTTTAAAGGGGGAGAGTATTGTGTTTGAGTGGCACTTTTCATGCCTGGCATTCTTCAGGCTGAAATCTCACTCACAATCGGCGCTTGAAGCTTGGAATGTTGCGCAAATGTCCAGCAGACGTGATAGCATTGAAACTGTTGTTCTCTTAGGTGCTCAGGCATGAAACTATGCAGCTCAAACACTATACTTTTCTGCTTACACTGAAAAAAAATTAGAGGAAACATTGAGCATGGGGTGTCATGCATGCATGCATATAGGGGTGGGGTGGGGTGTTTGCAAGTTCTATTATAAGCACACTGAAAATCATGTTCTAAGGCTGGAAAACATTTAAAAACAAATAAGTAAATATAACTAGTGAATGTGGCTAATTGATGATATGGAAATACAAGTAAAGCAACCATGGAAATTGGTCCTCTTTTGTTCTATAGCAGTGACTGACTTCCCCAAATTTCACATTTTAAAAAAATCCTCCTTACTCTGTTAGTCTCGTATTCAATGTTCCAATTGGTGTGGTATCAAACCAGGCCATTTCTTGGTGAAGAACAGCAAAAAAGAATTTATCCCGTATCCTTGATGTTTGTCTTGCAGAAGCAGTCACAAAGGCCCAGATTTCAACAAAACTACAGAGCAGTACAGCAAAGCCAACTCCAACAAAGTAGTATGCATGACTGTGGAACAAATGAAGAGTCAATAAATTTGTCATTTATGTTTTTCTACTTTTTCAGCCCCCAAATATAGCTCCCAATTTAAAAATGTAAAGTTTATTATTATGGACAAAGAAGGGGAAATAGAAACTGATTTGCACACTCATAGAAAGTTAAAAAGCATGCAAACAATCAATACAGTCAATCAATGACTATTATATAACAAAAGGACAATATTAAACTGCTATACAGCATCAGCACTTAGATTTATATACTGCTTCACAGTTCTTTACAGTCTTCTCTAAGTGGTTTACAGAGTCAGCATATTGTCCCCAACAATTTGTGTCCTCATTTTACCTCAGATGGAAGGCTTGAGCCCCTAAGAATCAAAATGCCAAACTTCTAGCAGCTGGCAGTTAGCAGAAGTAGCCTGCAGTACTGCATTCTAACCACTGCACCACCAGGCTTATTATATTTATAATAGAATAGTAAATTCAATGTAATTCAATATCAGATGTTAACCATAAAATTGAATATGTTATAATTTGTCAGTTATTAATAAGAAGAGGAAAAAAGCTGTATAGGTACATACTTATTCATTTGATTTTCTATATCTGAAGCAGCCTGAGGACATGCTGAGTTATTCATTTCTGCATTTCCTATAAGGAAGATTTTAACAACAGTAGTATTAGAAGATAATTTATAGATATTAAACACCAATACAGTCCAATTATTTTTATGTCTTTTTTTTTCTTCAAAAGGATTTGAAGGATTTTCTCCTTGAGGAGAAAAAAAAACATTTAGCTTCTCATTCAAGAAGCTTCATCAGTTCTGATAAAGGGGTGGTGGTGGTGAAGGGATAGGTACTGACAGTTGAGACTAGATGGCAGGTAGTGGGTGGAAGGACAGGTTTTCATAGGATGGAGTGGGAGATGGAAGGATTGTATTTCTTTGCTGTTATCTGGTCATTAGCACTCTCAGACCTGTTAAGATCACTTGAGGGTTTATTTGTACCTTCAGGAATACCTGGGTGCAATTAGTTGTGGAATCTTCTTGGAATTGCTGCAAGGGCTGGTTATTAAACTGGAGATAAGTGATATTTTATTCCTCCCCTTCTAAAGAAGGAGATGTGTTCAATTCCAACATAGATGAATTATTTTACCCCTATTTTAAAGTGCTAACAACCATTTGCCTGTAAATAAATACAATCCTTCCATTACCCTCCCATCCTGTCAGAATCTATCCTTCCATCCAGGTATGGGTTCCTGCAGTCACTACCAGTTTACTTGTGGCCGTGCACGCACAGAAGCAAAAACCAAGATGGCAGGGCCTACAATGCCACCCAGAGAATCGGTTCAGAGGTGTGGCAGGCCTGGGATACTGCCAGTTCCAGTGACTCAGGTCACCAAACCACTACCGGTTTGGCAGACCCGGTCTGAACTGGTAAGAACCCACCACTGCTTCCATTCCCCAGCCATCAGAACTGATGAAGCTTCTTGGATGAATAGCAAAATGTTTTATTGTTCTTCCTCAAGAAAAAAAAACCCACCAGTCCAGTTGCCTTTGGAAAGGGAAAAAATACCTTTGAGACAACTATGACTTGGATAGAATAGAATAGGATAACAGAGTTGGAAGAGACCTTGGGGGCCTTCTAGTCCAACCCCTGCCTAGGTTGATTGAGACTCTCTACAGAAATATAGTTAAAGTCCTATGTCCAAGAAAAATAGTATTTATTTCTTAAAGATAAATTACTTTCTAGATTCGATCCCAAAATCAAGCAATACCAGATTGCAAATTGACTGTATAATAACAAAAATCCCAGATTCTTGAGCATTATATAGATATATTTACATCAGGATTTTTTCCTTGTATTGCCAAAAACAGAAAAGGGATTGCCATTGCTTTCCTTTAGGATGCTTTTTCCAGTCTGACTCATAGCTTTCAAATTTAATAATAATTTCTTATCCTGAACTTGGTCTAACTTTACCAGGATTTTCTGTGGTCAATTCAATATGGCCATCTATCAAAGTGGATATACTATCATTTTAATTCAGTTATAGTGGCAAAGAGTGCACCATTGGGGGGACTCTTTGCCACTATAACTGGCAAAGTTATAGTTTGCCAGAAACTATATGGAGAAATATCTATCTATGCAATCCCTAAGAGTCAAAAATGATTTTAGGGTACCTAAACACTAATTTCTTATATTAAATTCTGAATATGTGGGGCAATGTTTTTCTTGCTACATTTCAACAATTTTTCATTAGTGTTCAGAGTCTTCTTTTTCCAGCTTACTTCTATGTCAATGGATTCACATCCTACACTAAACATTTAATAAGCTACAATTGGCTGGTTTAGTGCTATAATTCAATATATTATCACTTAGTGTGATACTTACCTGTAGACACATTTAAACTAGTATTCACAAAGCTGTTTGTCACCTGGCCAAAGATAATGATGATAATTGGTTGTCCAGTTCCTGCTGCAACAGCTGCGATGGATCCCACAATTATTAAAATAGTATCTAGAGCATCTGCAAAACTAAACTAAATGGATACAGAATTTAAATGAAATTGTGACAGAAGGTTCCATGTTGCTTTATAGACAAGATTGTCTCATTGATGGCAGTTATCTGTCTAAGTCCTACTTCATGTTGTATACAACTTATATTTTGGAAGCCATATTACAAAAAATTAGGGTAAATGTTTATCTTTTACCTCTAAGTTCAGCTGGATTCTGGTCCGGGCCATCTTGTTTCCATATTTGCCAACCAGTAATTGAATAATTTGTAACAGATTTATATGATAATAACACAGAAGCATTTACACATAATTTTTACTGGAAGATTTAATGTATATGCTCAATATCAAACATTTACCAATTGTCATTGCATTGTTAGGCAATTTGGTTCTGATATTCCACATAACTTCTTCCCTACCCCATTTTATTTTAAAAGAACCTTTAGATTAAAAAGAGGGAAATAGGCAAGTTACAGTGAAGCTAGGTTAAACATGTATATATTTAACTGATCTGTTCCACTATTTAAAAATAAATAAATAAAAGAGAACTCATATCATTAGGATTACAAACTAACCAGTTCAAAAAATCCAACCATCTGCTTTTCTTTCTTCGAGGTTTCATTGTTCTTTCTAGAAAGGTTTGGATAGGAGAGTAAGTCAACTGAAACAATTCCTAGCAAATTAAATGTGCAAGTGCTTAAATTAAACTTACATTTTCTTATTTTTTAAACCACCCTCTTGTGTAGAAGTTTCATCCAGTTGGAAAGCAGGATTGTCACAGCCATTGCTTGAAATTTCTAATGGGAAAGCAGATTACATTTAACATCCTACAAATATATCTATCTACCTATACAAAAATAAAACTGCAAAAGTTACTGTAAAGGTGTAGAATTGGCATGCTTATGAAGCAAACCTGTAAATCAGGGGTGAAATCCAGCAGGTTCTGACAGATTCTGGAGAACTGGTAGCAGAAAATTTGAGTAGTTTGGACAACTGGCATAAACTACCTCTGGCTGGCCCCAGGGTGGAGTGGGAATGGGGATTTTGCAATATCCTTCCTCCAGGAATGGGTTGAGAATGGAAATTTTGCAATATCCTTCTCCTGCCATGCCCACAGAACTGGTAGTAAAACATTTTGAATTTCATCATTGTTGTAAATGCCATTAAGAAATTAAGCATGGATTAAAAGTGGATTGTTATACAGCAGTAATTAGTAGAGCAAAACTAACTGGGTTTCTTCTATTAAATATATCCATCATTATAAAATTTTCACATAAAACTTTAAAGATATTTATGCAGAGTAGGAAATTGTTCATATATAAGGCAAAAAGATAGAATTCCTGGCTATTTCATTTAACATCTATTGAATATGAATGCAAATTAGAGCTAAATAAAATGATTTAATCTCAAATTTGAATGTTTCTATTTCCTAAAGTGTAAACTATAGGCTAAAGACCCAATAATATAAAGCACAGCTATTAAAACATAACATTAATATGTTAATGGATATGAGCTAATATGATATCTGGGATTATTCTTTATCAAAAGTTTCTTAGGATAAATTTCAAAGGACTCCTATCCCACAGGTCAAAGTTATGAACATTATCTTACTATTGTAGTACTCTGTTCCAAAAGGGGAAACCCAATTTTTTCAGGTATAGGAAAGATCATTGTAATTTGTGAAATTTCTAACTCCAAAAGACATAGTAGTTTTCTCAAATAATGATCAGTTATAATATAATGATATATTTACTATGCATAGCCTAGAAAATGATATGTGAATATAAATAATTAGAAATATCAGATTTACCAGGTATAGAAACATCATTTACTGTGTAACTTCTAGAATGTTCCTTCATTGATTTGTTCTCTGGCCCAATTTCAGTTGAGGAACCAATCAGTTTCAAAAACAAAATCTACATCAAAAGAAATTATGTTTCAGAAATAATATCCTCATTTTAAAGTTCATATCAAACACTTATTATTTTTCTTAATGTTGAAATTTAATGAAAATATCCTCTCACAATCCAGATACTGAAAAGTTTTGAAACCAACAATTCAACTACTCCTTGTCATACAGTATTTCCCTTCATAAAATAGGGATTAAAATGTATATCTTCTTCAGCATAATCTCAAGGTTTTCCAGAAATTCATTTTACCAAGGTTTATGTCATCTTTATCTTGAGACAAGGAAACTCAAATTTTATACTCCATTCTGATTTGCATGTAGTTCTATATACTCCATATTTTTGTCTCAGCAAAACATCATTTGATTATTTTACTTAAACTTTGAACATAGATTTCCTCATCTGGGTAGGATGAACTGGCAACCTAAGACTCCCAAGCTTGTAAAAACATTTTCTCTTTGGTGCTCCTTTTGCTTGTAATTTCTGGAAATTGATAGGCCAATTTCCTGCCAGTTTGAGAGTGGAGACAGTTTAAAAGTAGTGTAAATTTCCAGAAATACAAATTTCAATTAAAATAATAACATAGAAAAACCTCAAATGTTTCCCCATTTGTCCTCAATCTCTAAAATATTGACCATTTGTGATTTATAGTGATCATCTATTTTTTAGCATAAAGTTAGGGATACCATAAACAACAGTGACTTTAGAATATCAGGCTTGGAAAACATTTAAACATTTGTTTAATTAGTTTGTTAATAAATATATTTAGATAATTTGTGTGAAAAGAAGAAAGCCTCCTAAACATTCTTCAGACAAGATATTTCTGTGAATATTTTTCCTAATAGCCAAGATAGCCAAATCCTTAACCAGTCATATGGTTTTCCCCAAGTAATAGCAGAACGTTCTCCTACTATTTGTTCTTACCCACATTATGTTTCTATAGAAGGAAGACATGCCTTGTTGAAAACTAATGGTTTGTTAAGGAATTTGCTTCCCCCAAAGCTCTATAATTTAATTGATTGATCACTTAATTTAATATATATATAAATAGGCCAGATTCTTATAAGAAAACATCATCTTTGGAGATTCTACTAAACTCCCCATCTACTTTCCAGGTTAGTCTTCTCTTTCTGTCCACTTCCTGTTCAATGTTTAATGTCAAAGTTCAACTGAAATCTAAATGCAGATAACACCAGGCACCCTATTACACATAGTCTCAACCAGTACTATTCCAGCTCAGGGGTTAATTTGGAACTTGAGAAGATTCAAAGTATCTTTTGCATAGCTGCAGCCCTAGTTTTTGCTGTTTCTTTTGAGGCAAATGAGAATGAAGCTTCTTTTAAGATACTAGTTTTTTAAACACCCTTTTCTAGCTATAAGACGTAATACATATGAATCAGAGGTGGTATTCAACAGGTTCTGACCAGATCTGGAAAACTGGTAGTGGAAATTTTGAGCAGTTCAGAGAACTGGTAAATACCATCTCTGATTGGCTCTGCCTCCATCTATTCTCTGCCTCCCGAGTCTCAATTGGTTGGGAATGAATAGGGATTTTGCAGTAACCTTCCCCTGGAGTGGGGTGGGAATAGAGATTTTACAGTATCCTTCCCCTGTCATGTCCATCATACCATGCCCACCAAACCACGCCACACCCACCAAGTCATGCCCACAGAACTGGCAGTAAAATATTTTGAATTCTACCACTATGAATATACATTATATCTTAACTTGAAATATATATATGCTTTTCCTTGGAAGTGGAAAATAGAATTCAAGCAGAACCTTCCTCCTCAAACATCAATATAAATATTATACCAGACAGATTACAATTGAGGCAAAATCCTTCTGTCTTCTTCAACAAATCTTAGTAATGACAGATAAGACTCTTCATCTTGAATTAAATCCTTGTTAGCCAAAGCCTGCTTTACTATTAAGTCAACAGAAACTTTGAAACATGATGAGTCACAGAAAGAATGAGAATTCAGTTTGGTTGATAGGTGATACTAGCTTAATGACTTGTCTCCTCTTCTTGCCCTGTTATTTCTTCTCATCCAAGATTTTTTTTCCTACTACAGTACTTAAAATTACTGAATATAATTTCTCAGTTAACATAATGAAAATAGCATATTGAAACAAAAGTATTAATGTTCCATACACATATTGGTTAATAAATTTATAAGAAAAACCAGATAAATGTCATATGAATTTATAAGGCTGTTTTCCAATTCCAAAACCTGCTTATTCCAGTATCTTCTTTCACACAAAGCAAATCAAGTATCACAGGAAATCTTATGAGGAGATACTTATGAACACAGTATGTTTTCCCCCCATTTATCTTATTGGCTGGACCTGCTAGAAGCTGAGATCGCACAACTTTTAAGGGTTATTCTTACTCTTCCTTCCAACTTTCTTTTTATGCATTTTTCATCAATAATGTTACCACTTAAAATACTGGCATTAGCTAAGTAGTACCATACGCATGGCTTCAATCCACAAACTGCAATCCACATCTGTTGGATAAAGTCTCTGATCACATCCAGCTCATTCTTGGAAAGATGAGAGTTATAGTTCAAAATTCTGAAGGTCATATGTCAAGAAGATTTTGCTAAAGCATCTCAGTTAAAATGTAACTTTTTGGGGGACAGCTCTTTTAATTGTAGCAAGAAATTGAGAATTGAGGTCTATGAAAGGCCAATACATTTATTGACACATGTGTTCAGAAATTCATGAAATATAAACTACTGTATTTTTTGGTATAAGACAAACCTTTTTTCCTCAAAAGAGAGGCTGAAAATCTGGGTCCGTCTTATAAACTTAATACAGCATTTTTTGCATCCCGAATCCTCACCCCTTTCACCCAATTGGCCATGCATAGCGTTTAGGAGGCAGGCTTTCAGAGTGCTCCTGGGGGCTGAGGAGGGCAGAAATGAGCAAAAAATAGGCCCTTTTTTTTGCTCAGTTTTGATCCCCTCAGCCCACAGAAGCACTCTACAAGCCTCCTAAAGGCTATGCATGCCCTTTTTTGGGGAAAAAAAACCCATAGGCCCATTTTCATGAAAAACGGGCCATTTTTGAGAAGTCTGCAGAGTGCAAAAAGTTTTTTTTTAATTTGCCTCTTCAAAATCTTGGTGCGTCATACTCTAGTGCATATCATACTCTAAAAAATATGGTACATATTTATATACCAACACAGAGTGATTTGGGTCATGCATTAAATTAAGGCATATTTTTTTCTAAATTATGGTTTGTTAAATGATCAGCTGGGATTTTCAAAACATGGTGAAAATATTTGGATAATTTGCTACATCTCTCTATCTATATCCATCCATCCAGCTATCCTACTTTGCAACCTAGGTAGTTCTTTAATATTGGTCCATGGGACTCTTAACGTTATGCATGTTGGCTTAATCCAGATTGGTTACCATTTCCAGTTAGCATGAACTGAAATAGTGGAAACAGTGGTTTTTCAAGATTTAGATAAACCAGGCATTTTCCAGACGTCCAAATTGCAAACATAAAGGCTTCAATCCTACATAAACTTCACCTAAACAAAGAAAATCACTATAGAACTAAGTATGAATCAGATTGCAGTGTGTGTGTATAGAAATGACATGGAAAGAGTAAGACACAAAAGGGCTTTCTATAATCTTTACTTGCTTTCTTTGTGGTCCAAAATCCAGGTCTGTTTCAATAGTTATTGTTTAAGCCAGTGTTTTTCAACCACTGTGCCGCGGCACACTAGTGTGCCGTGACATAGTGTAAGGTGTGCCGTGGGAAAAACACTTTATATATAGTCAATATAGGCACAGAGTTAAATTTTTTAAACATTTTCTAATGGTGGTGTGCCTCGTGATTTTTTTCATGAAAAAAGTGTGCCTTTGCACAAAAAAGGTTGAAAAACACTGGTTTAAGCTAAGCATATCACTCCCATTTAATATATTTAAACAAGTAGAAAATGTGTAGTACTTCTTAAAAATAGGGTTGCTCACATAATACATTAGAGACCATAACCTCATTGTCCATCTATAACCAAATTCCTCTTTTGTTCAAAGAAATGTCATTGTAGTCTATAGCAATTATTAAATTTGCAAACCAAATATTGCTGAGAAATTCATCATTTAAAGTACTCACTGTAGTTGAGTTGGAGAGCCAGTTTTTTGTAGGGGTTAAAGCATCAGATTAGAATCCAGGAGATCATGTTCTAGTCCTGCCTTAGGCACAAAGCCAACTGGGTGACTTTGGGTCATTTCCTCTCTCAGTCCCACAAAATATACAAAACAAATCACTTTTGAAATCTTGCTAAGAAAACTGTAGGTACTTGTCCAGGCAGTCAGACAAGAATCAAGGCTGACTTAAAAGCAGACAGACAGACAGTCAGACATATGGAACTTCTTGTTTCAAGTTAAGAAAAGGAAAAGGGGTGTACTTAAAAAAATTAAACACAATGATGCCTCTTCATAGAATGAGTAGGCACTCAGAGGACACACTCATTGTTAAGCTATTTAGATACATATGTATTTAATCCTTACATTGTGCTGTTAAAATATGACTCTTCCAGGTGCTGAGTATTAAACACTGTAACTCCAACTAATATAGAATTGGCTGAGTTGGTTGGGGCAGCAACCTCCTACAATACAGGTTAGGGGTGGCTATTCTCTTCCTTAATTGGGCATATCCCTCTCTGAAACCTGAATTTAATTGCCTTATAAACAGACAAAAATACCCAACCCCTTGATTTCCCGATGTTGATTACAATACCAACAGTGTACAGCAGGTATAGTTGTGGGAGAATTAATAAAACACATTTGGAGAGCGCGAGATTGAGGAAAGCAGCACTCAATACACACAGACTCGCACGTGTAGGGAATGCGCTATCCACAAAACAGTTCCGAGTCTTTTAGACAACGCTGTTCCACTGCTCAAAAGTTATCGAAGAGGACAAGTACGAGGGACAGTAGGTTATTAAAATTGTCCTTTACCAGCGAGGAAAAGGAGGTGAGAGTGCAATATCCTAGCCGAATTTCCTTTTTTTGCACAACTATTCACGGTGGCAAGAAGATCCTCTTCCGTAATTTGCACTCACTTATTAAGTCTACATTCTCACCAACCACCTCCCCAGCCTCAGATTTCAATTCTGCATCTCCTCACCTATGATCTTCTGGTGGTTCAGCACGCGGGGTGGTTCAGCTATAAGCTCCAAGTACTAAGCCGAGCGAGGATCGTCCTTCGGCGTCAAGGGAAAGCTGACAAATGCCCTCGCCTGGTGATGAGATGGGTTTAGGTACCTGCCTTTTACCTAGCAAGGTTAATGCAAGGTTTCGCTCGAAGCTATTCGGGAGTTACGCCCAGAGATCTCAACTTCTCCTCCCGGATCGAGTTTCAGTAAGGGTCAAAAAAGCTGTTTGATTTCAAAAGTAGCCCTTCCATTTAACAAGCTTTCTTAAGGTCATCGAGAGAGAAATCATTGTCTCCCTTTTCTCGTCTTTTAAAACAAACCAGAATGTATAGAAGTAACCGATCATAAAGAAACAGACTATTTGAGAAATGCAGTTCAATTTATAACCTCAGTAATGATTTATTTGCCTCCAGGGTTTTTTCCCTTCATGAACTCCATTAAGAAAGTAAAGGTTTGATATTTTCTGGATCATACAAAACTATCTCCCTTAGCTATAATTGCCATTCAGTGAAAGTCAGTCAGTCAGTCTGTCAGTCAGTCTCCCTACCCCCCCCTACCCCCACTTTCCATTCTGGGTTATCTTCTGTTAAGTGTGTTTAGGACTAGAGGAGTGGTTTATGGATTTGATCATGTCTGTTATCAAATACTGTTGAATTTTATTTGTCAGTTTTCAAAAGCTGAAATAAGTACAACCAATGTCAAATAGTACCTTATAAATATTTCTGGATTATTAAGGCCATCTCTGAATGTTTCTCAACTGTTGCTTATTGTCAACTTTTCTTCCCTTTCCATCAGAATTTTGTCAAGTATTGCCCAATCACACTTCAAAATCAACTCTCCCTTAGCAAACCACCTTGTAATTTAACATGTTTCCCAGTAAACCATGCATGTCTGCAGATATTGCATTGTATCACATTTGAATAGCTTTTATTACTTTCTCACTTTTACTTGGCACTTAAATCTCTGCAGACTCTTTGACTGTAGAGCCAAATAGCATGACATAATCTTCAACCAAGTAGCACTGAGTACTGAGTCTTAAAGCAATTCCTCTACCCTGGAAGGCAGAACTGAATGTTCATAGGCAGTCCTGTTCTTTGTAGTGAGCCTAAGGCTGCCAAATGGATGAAGATTTTTCCTCTAGTTGCCAATATTAGAACTGGTGCATGTGTTTTATTTCAAATAGCAAATGTCTGTTGGTATGATTGTTTTATTATTGAACAATTGATGTTCTCATACCTGAATAATTTAGAACAGAGAGTTCTGCGAGGTACACCTTGCCATTTCCCTAAAACACTGATTTTGAATAACAGATTTCTTTATATATATATATAAAACCACCTCTTTAACTTCAGAGTAAAAACATACTGGATTAGGCTGCCCCAGCTATAGGGGAAATGTGAACACCTTTCTCTTTCCACCTGAATTTTCTTGTCCTTCTACTTCAGCTACTATTGGCTATTTGCATATTCTGGGATATTCAAGAATCCTGGGGGGAAAAAACTCACATATATTGAACACTAAGAAAAGTTTCCATTAAACACTACACTTTATCTTTGATTAGAAATAAAGAGTTGAAGGAAGCTGGTTTCTGGAATATACTGAGGAAATTACCTTAAAAAAGTAAGAAATTTGTTGGAAAGAAATGGGCCTTTGTTAATTGAAGTAAGTAGACATTGTAGTTCATAGATTCCATACTTGAGCAGAAGATTGTAGAGAAACAGTTAAAAAGATATTCCATAATGAAATTATATTGTATGGAATTGACCAAGTCCAGACAGACTTAGTGTGTTAATACATGCTGAATAAATTAATCAGTTGCAGATTATTATTTAACTTGGTTATGAGAAACTAGGCAATGCATCTTAATTGACCTTGAATAGATGCATACATTACGCAGACTATAGGAAAAAGTCTGGTAAAATAAATGAACCTGTCTGTAACTCTGAGGTCACAGCAGTTCATATTTCAGACTAAGACACACTCTGCAACTTTTCATTAGGTCAGTAAAGTCTACTTTATACCATAAAAGGAGAAGAGGCATAATATACTGTATCCAGTCCTGTGATGGCAAACCTATGGTACGCATGCCACAGGTGGCATGTGGAGCCATTTCTGAGGGCACTTGAGGCATTGCCCTGTCAGCTCCAGCGCACATGCATGCACTGGCCAGCTGATTTTCAGCCTTGATTTTTGGCCATTTTTCGCCCTCCAGAGGCTTCAGGTTAGCCTCCTGAATCTTCCGGAGGGCGAAAAACTGTCAAACGCACAAACCAGAAATTTGGGGATGGACTTCCAGTTTGCCTGTTGGGCTGTTTTTTACCCTCTGGAGGCTTCAGGCAAGCCTCCTGAACAGTCTGGAGGGAGAAAAACAACCCAACAGGCAAACTGGATTCCATTCCCAAACTTCCGGTTTGCATGTTGGACCGTTTTTCGCCCGCCCCAGGCTTCAGAAGGCTTTCCTGATGCCTGTGTAGGGTGAAAAATGGCCCAACAAGGCCCACTGGGAGTTTGGGAACAAACTTCTGAGTTGCCCATTGAGCCGTTTTTCTCCCTTTGAAAGCTTCAGGGGGCTTTCCTGAAGCCTGTGCGGGGGCAAAAAGGGGCCAGCACATCTCCTGGAAGTCTGGAGGCTTTAGTGAGGCCTGCACGCTTGCATGGGGAGTTGTGCACACATGTGCAGGGGGAGGGCATTGTATTATGGGTGGGGGCATGTGTACATGTGACCTCCCCCCACATTCCTCACATTTTTGGCACACCTCGACAAAAAAGTTAGCTATCACTAACCTACTCTAAGCAATTTTATAGGTATAGTGCTCTGAACACATTAATCCCATCAAGATTATAGTAACAATTCACTATTATTATAATAGTGAAATCTTTTGATTTAAACTTTACAGGTGATTGATGGCAATTTCAATCATTTTTACGCAGATTTAAATGCCACTGAGTTGACTATCATATAGTGGTAATATAGGATTGTGTTTCTTAGGTTTATCACAAAAAAATGGATGCATCAAGATAACTATTATAAATATAGAAAGACTGTTCTAACATTTGTAGAAATTACAATTATAATACAGTCCTTTGGAAATCATTTGGAATATTACAGTATATCTAGATCAGCCTGAATTCATCATAGTTGAGTAGACTGCAATGATTAAAGGTCGACCCCATGGCCACTCAAATGTGGTGTGCCACAGGGCTCGGTCTTGTCCCCCCTCCTATTTAACATCTACATGAAGCCGCTGGGTGAGATCATATGGCAGCACGGGGTAAAGTACCATCAATATGCAGATGATACACAACTGTATCCCTCTGCCCCATTCCAGCTCAGTGTAGCAGCGGACGTGATGTGCCGATGCTTAGAAGATGTCAGGATCTGGATGGGGGTGAACAAACTTGTGCTCAATCCCGATAAGACTGAGTGGCTTTGGATGCTGCCCCAAAAGGAGAGCCCAGACAGTCCAACCTTAATCCTGGGGGGTGAAAATTTGCACCCCTCGGAGAGGGACCGCAATTTGGAGGTCCTCCTGGATTCGCAGCTGACACTGGAACACCATCTGTCGGCTGTGACCAGGGGGGGCCTTTGCCCAGGTTCGCCCAGGTTCGCCTGGTGCACCAATTGCGATCGGGAGGCACTTCAAATGGTTACTCATGCCCTTGTCACCTCAAGGCTGGATTATTGCAACGCGCTCTACATGGGGCTACCTTTGAAAAGTGTTCGGAGACTGCAGCTAGTCCAGAATGCGGCCGCGCGAGCGATATTGGGTGTACCAAGATACACCCACGTTACACCTGTCCTCCGCGAGCTGCACTGGCTACCAATTGGTCTCCAGACGCAATTCAAGGGGTTGGTTATTACCTTTAAAGCCCTACATGGGTTAGGGCCAGCGTACCTGCGAGACCGCCTACTGCCACATACCTCCCAGTGGCCGGTAAGATCCCACAGATTGGGCCTCCTTCAGATGCCCTCAGCCAGACAATGTCGGCTGGCGGGCCCCCAGAGGAGATCCTTCTCTATGGCTGCTCCGATCCTTTGGAATGAGCTACCCCCAGAGATCCGGACCTTACCCACTCTGGCCTTCAGGAAAGCTGTTAAAACCTGGCTATTCCGGCAGGCCTGGGGCTGTTGACCTCATTGTTGAGGTCCAGCCCCGATTGAATGAATGCATGTGTTGTGATTTTAAATCTGTCTTTTTCTAATTTTTTTTGTTCCTCTTCTTCTTTTTTGTAAGCCGCCTGGAGTCCTTCGGGAGTGGGCGGCATATAAATTTTAATAATAAAATAATAAATAAATATTATCCTCACTCAGAATGGCATATACAATGTTGCTCTACATCTGAAATCTCTTTTCATAATGTCTTGATAAAAACCCCTTCTTGATACTCTGTTTTATATTCAGGCCCTTTATAGATGGTCCTTGGCTTATGTACATTTATCCAGCATCTATTGAAAGTTACAGCGATGCTGGAAAATAGAAATACAGCCAATTAATGAAGTTCCAGTTATTGTACCATCAGCTACATGATCATGATCTGGGCACTTGCAGGATGAATCAGTCACTTGATTGCCATTTATGATCTTTCTTGCTGGCTTCTTCCAAAGCAAAGTCAGACAAAGTTAATGCAGAACACCGCAGGGAAGATTGCAAGTTGCTTTGGTAAGCCACCTGCCTTTTTTGCACTTATGTGATGCCATATCCTCCATCCTATGCTCTTCCTGCACTTGCATTTTACCAGAGCATCCACCTCCCTGCCATCCACAATTCACACTAAATCTTCCCTGAGGCTTCCAGAAATTCCTCAGTCTCCTTCATCAACCATTGCATCTACAAACACTGACTTCTACCAGTTCCCATTTGACACAGCCCATATGTCTTCATGTTACAAGAACAACTGGGACTGCTAGAGAATGTTGTTGATAAATTAAGTAGTCATTTAATGTTGTGCTTTAAAATCACATTGCTTGGCAATGACAATTTTGGTTCCAAAGATAACCCAAAGACTACCTCTA